GCTGCGGTTAAACACAGTGGCAATGGTACAACATAGCTTTTTCGAGCAACACCTTAAAACAACTGCTCTTACACCGTCAAGACCGATGGCGACTTTTAGTCGGGAAAACCATCGACAAACATGATCGGTTGTGAAAACAGGAACTGAAGCTATATTCGTCTCTGGCGGCACAGTTTAGACGAATTCGAGTGGTCCACATCTCCGTTTCCTAGGAAAGCGGTATTGAAAGCATCAGAGTTAAACGGTGTAGCAGTCGTTACGCGACCCTATCCTGTTAATGATCTTATACCGGTCTACCTTTCCTTAAAATATGATGAACTGTTGAAAATGCAGATGATTGCGCCAGTTGATCTCACATTTGATCAAACTTTCAATCGATTTACGTTGAGAATAGAAATAATCGAGAATAGCGTAGCGATTGTTGTTTTTTTTGGTGTAAACGTATGAGAAATTGGTTTGTCAGTTGTTTCCTGGTGGCAAAGAGTATTTCTTTTGGGTGACAGCTGTCAAAATAAAGTTGAGATAAGATGACAGCGTTGATACTGCTTTGTAATGCTATCGTGCTCAAAAACCTGCCAATCACTGGATGCAGAAGTGCTTGATGTTCGCAGTGAAGATGTGCATTTTCTTACAATAAATCCGAGAGGTCAGTACGCAGCATCATTTTCCAGGTTTTGAGTACGTACATGGGAGTAGACCAGTGACGTAGTGGTCAGAACTACCAAATTAGTCGTGTAACATCTGGCCAAAAGTTAAGTTGGAGCAATCGTGAAGGCGAGGTCAAGAGGCACATCACGTGTGTTGAAATTGACTACGTTTGTAAGGCCAAGAATGTGTAGTCCAGGGACGTCCATATGATTAAATTCGTCGCAAATAATTACCAATATTTCGTTGTGAAGAAAAGTTAAGACTGCCTTCAGGTCGTTTGAAAACGGACGAGTCTAACAGGAGTTCCCAAATACGACCGCTTTGAACGAAGATAGACATTAAGTCTAACATAATAGGACGATGTCCATCATGTTCTCTTTTGCACACGTCCTTGTCGAAGGACCACCAGTTATTAATTAGAGTGAGTAATCACCCCT